GGGGATTTTCCTGCAGGGCTGGCTATGGGCACTGGCTGTGCCTGGGTCTGCAGCCCCAGCACAGGGCTCAGAAAGTCCTGTAGTGATAGGGTGCTCTCCCTTGACAGCTGTACCCCAAGGAAGCTAAACCTCAGCTGCAGCCTCTCTTGCTCCATCTCCAGTGTGTGCCAGGTGAGAACTCACTTGTCATTACTGAACAATAATCTTTTTCACTCTCCCTTTGGAGCCACTGCTGTTGAACTATGCTGGTGTGCAGTGCTCAGGATGCTGAGCTCCTGTGTGCATCTGCCATGCCCACACCACACAGCCAGGAAAGAAACACACATGAGGGAAAAGCCCAAACCATGGAGACATGGCTGTCATGGGACCATCTCTGCTGTTGGGCAGAGCTAAGACCAGGGTGCAGGCAGGTTTCTCTTGTTTGTTTCTTTCTTTCTGCGATATCAACCCTCTATAATTCCAGTAACATGAGTGTAATCATGTCTAGAGGTCTCAGTTGCTCTTTTTCCCCAGTTTGTACAACAGTACTATAAGCAGAAGAACTTGGGTTTTATTCAAGAAACTGCCTGGGCAGTACAGGCTCTGCTCATACCTGATGGCTGGGCACATGTGAAACAGCACTTGTTGGCCTGGAAACTCAGTTGTAGGAATTCTTTGGTGTGTGTGGGTTTTTTGCAACTTCATGTTCTTGATGTTAATTTTTGACAGACCTGGTGAAAACGTTTAACAGCTTCCACATCACTTAAAACATCCCCCTGCCTCTCTTCCCCTTACTATAATGTTTTTTTTTAGGAAAATAGAATGATAACTACCCTTGTGGTCTATCAGAGGTGCTCATGGAAAGGGTCCTTCTGTGAAGCAGAAATAGTTTTGCATTTTAATTCACTTCTGGGCAGATTTTGGTTATGTGTGAGGTTTGCACCCAGCAGAGAAGAGAAAATGTCTGTTAAACAGGAATCATTATCAAAATAATGACACCATAATGCAGACCCAAATCCTGTTCCTTGTCATCACCCAAGTAATCATGTGGAACCAAATCCAAGTGCCACTCCTGTAGGAATCTCTATTCAGCTGTGGTGTGTGGTGTAAGTCAGGAGTGACTCCAAAAAGTCAAAGCATCACCTTTCTGTGTGTGTCCTGCATGGGGCAGGCCCAGTATGTGCTGTGAGGTCAGGGATGTGAGCATGGTGTGGTCCCACAGATATCAGCTCCCTGAGCAGTACTCCACAGCCAAGGGGGAATCTCTCCTGGGTGGTGTCGTGTTCCCCCCAGTTTGGGGGGATCCCCCACCTTCGCAGCTCTCCTACAGCACAGGGGGGCTGGTTTGCTGCCCATGCTGCTTGCCCTTGCAAAAATGAACCACTGTGCAAGCATAGCTTTGCCTTTGATGGGGCAAGGGAAAATCCAGGACTGGGCAAAACTGAAAGCAAAGTAATCCCAGGTGAGTGGAGTGAATCCTGTCTGAGGACATAAGGAATGGCAGTGGCTGTGGGAGTTAGGAGAAAACCCTCCTTCAATGGGCATCTCTGCAGTAATGTAACTGCACTTCAGACAAGAAGTATGTCTGATTTGCAAAAGATAAAGGCTAAGTGAAACTCTTCTTGTTTATTTTTCTTAGCTTTACAGCTCATAACTGGAGTGGCTGGGTTTCCTCCACAAAAAAATGCAAAAATTTAATGACATTGAAACAATTGAAAGGTAAAGCAAAGTCAAGCTGAACAGTTCCCTGTTTTTCTAAAAATTTCAGACTTCAAACTTTTCTTCTGTTTTTACTCAATTTTTATTAATTAAAAAACTGAAAACCATAGTTCAGTACAATTCCAAACCAAGCATTTCATTTCACATCAAACTGAAGTGCCAGTAGCAATAATAATCATATAAACAGCCATTTTACCCATTTTCATAATACAAAGAAATGGACTTGCTGAGGCTGGAGATCTTGTTTGGAATGGGAGACTGAGTGGGTGCTCTGGCGACAGCAGCAAGAACACAAGTGCAGGCAGTGGTCTGTCCTTTTCATTGACAGAGTAAAATCATGCAGTCAAATCATAGTCACAAGCTGTACAGACAGAGAGGCCCTTCTGGGTTGCAATAAGGAAACTACAGTCCCTCCTTTTCAGCCTTTAACAGCAGTTCAAGGCCCTGGATCACACTTCTCTCCTTCCAGTTATAGAGGGCCAAAGTGGTTTTGCTTGGTGAAAAAAAAAGCAAACCCAAAACCTCAGAAGAAAATATAGAACTCCCTCCCCCTGCTGAATTAGGTATTTTTTATAGGATGACCTTCTGAGGGTAGCAAACATCATGAGAGCCAGTGAGCACTGAGAGATCTGTATGTGATACGTGATGAACTGAAACCATAGCAGGTTGGTTTGGGTGGTTTAACTGTTTCAGCAGGCAGATGCTGGGGGGTGGGAGGATGTGGGGATGTACTTACAGTCCTGCTGCCCTTATGGACTGAGCTGTGAGCAGAGTGAGGAGCAGGTGGGGCCCTGACCTCTGCTCCCCACGGGAATGAGCAGGGAGCAGGAGCAGTGCTTGCCTTACCCTGGGTTCTGCCCATTGGCTTCACCCTTGATGGTTTTGTTTCCTGTGCTGTGGTGAACAGGTTCACAGGCAGCAATTCCTGTCAGGCATCAATTGTGGACCACAGTGTGAGTCAGATCAATAGTCTCACTGCTGTGACGTCCTTTTGGTTAGCAGGATGTCATATCAGCAGCCCTTGGCTGGAGACTGAGCCAGGCTCAGCCCCTCTTTGTAGTGAAAAGGTGTTTTACAGCATCCCGTTACTGGTGACTTCTCCTTTGCATCAGACACAGACAACAGACTTGTTGGTTTTCCTCTGCTAGAGGAGAAGCAGCTAGAGATATCTCCCCTATGCAAATATGCACAGCCAGGTGAAGAGCACAGCTACCCATGGATGTCAGGGCCCCTCACAGGTCTCCAAAGATCTCTTGAGCATTCTGGTCATGGATCCTTGTAATAAAACCACACTTGCTTCACTCTTTCCCTCCATCTTTAGAATGAAAAGAATTTGTGAAGGTAAAACCACATTACTTCCAAGTCACCTTCTTGGTCCCATTTTGGTGCTGGAAGAGTGCTTCCCCATCTGTTTTATAACTAAAGGTTTAGGGACTATGTTCAGCCCTTGACTATCCAGTTCCCTTTCTCCACTCCTTGAGACAGCGTCACTCCATGTGAAACTTGCAGGAGGTGACTTGGGCCAGCTCTGTGCTGCAGATCTTAGAGATGGTGTCTGGCAGCCTGCCTGCATGATGGTCAGGCAGGAACTTTCTCAAGCCCTATATCAAGAAAAATGGATATATAGACTGTTCCTGGCCTTATAAGGGGAAAAAAAAATATTTTCACTGTACTGCTTATTTTTATTGTTACCTTTGCAAGCACATGTGGCAGTATGACAGGACAGAGGCTGTGCCAGGAGGTGCAGATGTTACACTGCTCAACACAGTGAATCTTTCACCATTTTGGTCAAAAGTATTCTTAAAAGTGAGGAAAACCTTAGCATTGGCTTGAAGCACAGAGCATTTACATTGCACTTTGCCCCTGAGGCCAACTTACATACCAGCTGCCCCCGCAGCAGAAATGTGCTTGGGCTGCCCATTTTTGGCACAGCTGAGACCCTTGGCAGGGCAGGTGTCAGAGACCACCAGCTCCGCCCTTGCACTGCCCCCTTCTGCTACCAGAAGGTGCTGGCATGTCCTGATAATCCATTATTGTTTGATGCAATTGAGGAAAAATGCTGTATCTGTATCTGTGAGCTCATATAAACTCACTTTGAAGAAAAGTCTCTGCTCTCAAAGCTTGAGGAGGACCAGTCCAGAGAGGCTGATGGCAGAAGATGTTTATACAGGAATGGAGCTTCCCAAGGATGGAGCTGGGTGGAGGAGAGGTCTCCTCTAGCTGTCACTTTACTTTCCTGTTTTTAAATGATTGTTCTCCGCCTTTTAAGAAGGCTGTGTGTTGGGTGGGAGCTTTGCCATTTCTGGTGGTGTGAAGTGAACAAACTGATGCCTCCAGCCCCACTCATGGAAGTCAGAAGCCCAATGTCTACCATGGTTGGGTGGTCCTGTCTTTGTAAAACAGCCTCTAGCTGGAGGCCCCTTTAGTTTAACAATGGGAGGGGTGTACTAGCGATGAGGGAGACTTGTCCTGCCTTCTGTGCTGCCCAGTGTGATAAGCACCCCACCAAAAGCTGTAGGATGGGTGGTGAGATTACCCCACAGGCTCCTGAACCTTCTTCCCCACTCACAGCCACACAGAGGTTGCACCCAGCCCTGTAGCAGCCTCCAAACCTCTTATGGGTCTCCAGTAGTGTCATGTCAACCTTCTAGCCAGGAACTTGGATGGAAAAAGACGTGCTGGCCATCTTCTGGAGATATGGGCTGGAATGATGTTTTGTCTCCAGATGCCCAGCATGATTTATGCATCAGCACACCTTCTTTCCCCATCCTGACAGCCGAGAGAAATTGTTCCACTGCTATTCTGTAGAAGTCACCTTGGAGGAGCGGGGACCTAAGCAGTTTCGGGGCACAATTACCTGTGTAAAGACACCAGCAATAGCTTGGAAGATAGATGTGAGCCAGTAGACTTGAGAGGTCATTCCTGCTGCCCATGGAAGTATTGAGGGACCAGGGTTATTTGTACCAGTGAAGATTGCATTATAAAGGCAGTAGCAGATGGATCCTTAGCATAAAGGGTTACCCAGTGCTGCTGACCTGCACCACAGGCAGGCTTTCAGAGGGCTGGCATGGGGTGCCAGGCAGCTCCCAAATTACCTCAAGTGAAGCCATTATTCTAGATGGACTCTATTGTAAGATGTGGGGTTTGCTGTATTAGTGGGAATACAATCAGAAATGCCTATATAGGAGACACAGCACACTAACAAAAGTAATTTTTCAGTTTTTCACAATTTGACTAATATTTCTGGGAAGATAAAAGGGTTCCTGATGGTGATGCTTATTTAAAATTTCTTCTAGGTAGCTGCATTCTGCCGTGTCCTGCCCTGACCCTCCATCGGTTTCAGCTGTCACCAGCTGTCCCTTGCCCTGCCTTGTGAGCTGTGTGAAACCAAACAAGAGTAAATACAGCATGAAAGTGTGAATGGCCTGTGCTGCAGACCACCCTCAGGCTCCCTCCAAGAGCAGAAGCCTGGAGTCAGCAGCTCTGGAGACCTGTGCCAGCTCCAGGCGGGACGACCTGCTCCACACACCTGCAAAATCCTTGCATGGCTGGGGGGACCAGGATCTCTAAAGCAGCCAGTGTGGAGTGGGGCAGAGAAAGGCCAGCCCTCCGAGGTCTCTGTAGTTTTCAAATGGATAGACTTGGACTTCAAGGCAAGCAGTGCTCACTGAGCACCCTGCCTTCCTCTTCCCAGGGGAGCATTGGAATGGGGATGATCTTCCTCAGCTTTCTCTTGTGATGCCTCAGAAGGTCTGTTGATGCTGCTCCAAGTCTGGGTCTGGCTGACTGCAAAAAGTTCTTGTTCCCTTGGCTTTGTTTCCTCTTTGGTTTCCCCTCTTATTTCTTTTTCATCCTGGGTAAAGTAAGCATTTGATTCTCCAGCAAATATAGACTTTAGGCAATTTAACATAACCATGGCTCTCCTGCAGTTGGAAGAGGCCAGTAGAAGGACCATGATGAACTGCAGTGACTTGGAGGGCCTTTATTATCTGTGTTCACCAACACTGGACCTGGCAGCTTGCAGGCATATCCTCCTGCCTACTGCCACCAACTCTCACTCCCTGTGCTCATGCTGCGTCCTGCTCTGCAGAGACACAGTCTCTGTGTATGAATGTGTGTGTATGTGTATATATATATATATATATATATATACACACATATATCATAATGTGTGGCAGAAGTAAGATTAGGTTTTTCTCTGGGTATCCATGGTTTTTCTGGCACTGTGATCATTTGACCTCTCCCAGCTCTTCAAGGAGAGGAAGCTGACTGAACATTTATTACATTTCCAGATTACATATGCCCATCTACAGCATATGTTTACAAGGAATTTATAGACGCCTATAAAGGGGCTAACAGGCATTATATTTAATTAATGTGGCAGAAATTATATCATTGTAATAACTGCCTGGCCTTTAGAGGTAAAACTTAGTGCCAGGGATTCCCAGATGAATCATCTCTGATAAGAACCAGAAATGACATAGGCCATATATTGTATGGTGAATTTGTTTGGATTGGTACCTTTAGGGTATTCAGCCTTGCCAAGTCTCTGCGGTGCTGACACAGTTTATTACACATTTTCATTTATTAAGAGATTATTTGACTGCAGTTTGTTGTTTTATTGTACAGCAGGTGATAATTTTACACTAAATTAACTGTAACATCTCTGTTAGGAACAGGCCGAAGAGGCTTCTTGCTATGATGCTAAATACTAAGTAATGGCTTTTATTCATCAAGGGAGTAATTTACTGCCATATGCAGGGCTTGAATAAGCCTTGCCACTAACCTGTTATTAGTCTGTGCATGTTCAGGTTAGGGTTAATGGTCTTGTGCCAACACAGGCTCCCTCCTACAAACAGGTATCTGTGTTCAAATCTCACAGCTCGCCACTTTCAGAGTGGACTGAAAAATGGTTTGAGGCTACTAAATCTACACACAGGCAGAGAGATGGCCACTGAAGTCTGGAGATGGGTGATGCTTGTTGTGTCAGTCCATGAGCTTGGATTTTAGCATCAGAAAAGGTTACAGATGGGCAGGCAAAGAAGTGAAAGCTCCTTGCACAGTTTGACTCTTCAGTAAAATAAAAAGATGTAGTTTCCACCCCTGGCTTAAATATTTGTTATTTCAACCAAAGAAATAATTCAACCAGAAAATTATTTTCAAACCCTTTATGAAAACAAAGGAAAAAATAAGCAACAATAACCATGCCTCTTTCTCACAGAAATTATTAACTTTTGAAGGAAAAATATTTATTCAAAAGCCCTTTTTTCCATTTAAAAAGATTACAGATGAAAATAATTTGCCTATCCCTTAATGAAGTCCATTATACCAGACTAGTTTCATAGTCTGTCTCACACAGATACCATTGAGTTAAGCTTTGTGTTGGGAGATGGGAATTCCACACCAAATTGAATTGGAGACTGAAGCAGGAACAATTATGGCTGCAAATTATTAAAGCTTTGCTATATTGGAAATTCACAGCATGCTTATAGCGGTAACTTACTATTAAGAAGAACCATACTACAAAGCTGAAAAATAGAGGAAAAAATCAGAACCATATTGCTTTGATCACAAGTCCATATTTAAAGAAACCAATCATTGGCAAAATAATCCCCTTCCCAACTGCGCCGTGGATTAGCTTTGGTTAATGCTAACATTGCCTTTATATGGAGCACATCAAGGGAAAAATTATCAAATAAAATCTAGGGCTGCCTAAGTAATTCACAGTAAATAATGTGCTGGAGGGAAGCCCCTGACACAAACACACATACAGACACACACACACACACACACAGACACACTCACACTCATTCTCACTTATGACTTTTCTGTGAGCCAGTTCTGCCTTTGAGTGCAGGGTGAGCAACAACTTCCCGAGCGGGCGGCTCTGAGTCACACACATCTGTTCTGACTGGACAAGCACATCAAGTGTTATATTTCCAGCTACTGAAAGGATGATCAGAGCTCCTAAATTAGCTGTCCAGTGTGAAGTTTTTTATGATTAGTTATTCCAAGTTGTCTTCTGGGGAATATTTTCTGGGCTTTCTTTTAAAATCTGCTGCTCAAAGATTGCTCTGCAGCAAGCTTGTTAGTTGGAGTGCTCATGGAAAGCTGCTCCCAGAGCAATGCACATCCATATGCTGACAATGTGAAATAATATCCCTAACTACTTTTTTGCTGTATTCCCCAGATCTACTGAATGGGTATGCCTCTTTTATTTATTTGGGAATGTTATTGATTTTAGATGAGGGAATGTGAGACTATATAAATGGATGTTGTCTTGTTGCCTTTTGGGAATGACATTTGATTTCCACCCCCTTCCCCAATTTTTTTGGAGTTTCTGTTTTCTGCAAAGAGAATGTACAGAAAATTTCAGGCTCATCCTTAATGTGGAATTTGTTTGTTTTTATTTAAGAGCAGGAGCAATACCAGCCTATGAAACAAAACTCTCCCAGGCATGGGAATTAAGTGTTAGTGAGTGGGAGGCTCTGCCCATGCATCCCAGCTTAGGTGGGAACATTCGAGGAAAAAACCTGCACACCTGGGAGTGGAGGAGGTGCATGGCACTCTGCGGGCACCACAGGCACAGCTGCATACAAGGGACACTTGAGAATGAATCCTTTGCTGGACAGCTGCAAAAGCTGCTGCTCCTAAAGCTACCAATGCAAAAAAATGAGCAAATCTGGGAATTAACTCAGATTCAAACAGATCTTTTGTGTATATTCAACATATTTTTTTGGGCGTAGGTGAGATTTTAAATGTGTTTAATCCTTCAGAGGGAGTTCAGTCACTGCATTTTTAGAGGGACATGGTCTTGTGCTTCCCCTGCCTCAGCACTAGCCCAGCAAGGTCCATCCTTGTGGATTTTAGCCAGCATACAAAGCACAATGTGAGCTTGTAAAGCCCTGAGAGATGCCTGAGTGAAGGCTGTTCTGCAAGGACCCATGGAGATTACAAATCCTGTTGTGTTCAGGCAGAATTGCAAACACTGAGGTGAGCTGGCATGATTGACATGAACATCAACTAGATCACGTTTATTTTTAACATCCAGCAAAATTATTAGAACCGGTACTGTTATCATCTGTAGGGCTAAACCCCACCTAAAAGAAGAAGGTATTGTGGGATACCCTATACAAAATGATGCTTGGAGGTTCCACCCCAGTATATGCTATTATATTACATTTCTACCCATCTACCATCTCTGTAGTCTGTTCAAAGAACTGTAAGTAAAGGCTGAGCTGCTGATAACCACTTTACAAATGAAAACCTTGATTTTATTTGATGGTGTAAGACTTGTGAAGGAAATGTGGGGAAGAACATAGAACAGAATAAATTTTATTAGTTGAGTATATGTGGCAGAATAATTACAGTTTCTGGGAGAGTGTGGGGAACAGCATAAGAAGGCTGGAAAAGAAATAGCAGCTTAAAATGTGATTGTCTGTTTGGGGTGATAGTAAAGTCAAAAGTGCCATTTCCAGTCTAAAATCCCTGTATCCAATACTAAAGAGCATTAGAGCCTAAATAAGGATTTGAATACAAATGTCTTCAACTCCGGCTCACCACAAAATTAAAGGATCTGTTCCAGGAAATGCAGTGTCTGCATGAAGAGACCCCCCTAGATCTGTGCCTTTGAAGCTTAAGTTTTAATTTGGGATTAAAAAAATAAAAAAGTTGCACAGGGCCCTGCAGGGGTCTGACACAGAATCCTAGAAGAGATCCTGTGCTGCTGACAGCTGGAGCAGAGCAGGATAGGGGATCTTGACACTTGCCTGCCCGTGGTGATGCTGCTGATGCAAGAGTGATTCAGCGGTGAACATGGAAAGAAATGCTGAATATGAGAGAGAAGCAGGGAATCCAGGGCAGGCAGGATGGCACACAGGCTGGCTGAGTCCTGCTGATGCTGGTTTTAAAGCCAAACACACATGGTTTGAGTTAAGGCTGGCCTCCCTCTGTCCAAATGCATTGCAGATTATGGATGATGTGGGCTTTGCATGGGTAATTTTTTCTTTTTCATCTCAGTATAAGGCAGCCCAGGAAACACCATCATGTATGATGTGGGCATTTTTCTTGTGCTCTGTGTTTGATTTAATCAAAAGAGCTTTCTTAGCAGCCTGGATACACTGGGTGATCACTTCTACTATTCTCAGCATTTTGCAACATGATTATTTTGCCAGTCCTCTTTTATGTGCAGGCTTGAGTGCACTCAGAAGCATCGGGCACAGCTCATTGATTTAGGGTCATCTGGTGTAGGATAAAATAAGACAGTGAGTAGCTTTTACCATTGTGTCTCCACCTCCTGGTGTAGACAGGGCTGGCAGTAGGGTCACCTTCAGCAGGTGCCCATGAGTGGCCCTGTCAAAGAAGACACCTCAGTGCTGCAGTGCTGTGTCCCAGCAGCAGTGGGGGCAGAGTTCTGGGATGCAGGACATGCTGTTAGTTGGACTGCTGGGAGCTGGGGCTGGCCCATGGCTCCTGTGCCTCAGTGGCCATTTACTGCCCTGCCTCACTGATGCTCTGCCAGCTGCCCACTTGCTCTGCAAGCAATCCTGAGACTGGGGTTTGTTTTTATTTATTCCATTACATAAAATATTCAAATTTGCAAAAAAAACCAAACCAACCCATACCAACATCAGGAAAACCCTCGATACCCAAAGGTATTTCCAGAGAAGGATATTTCCCATTTGCTCCTGCTGGGCAGGGTTGCTGTCCCTTTGTCCTGTGGTGCAGGGCTTTCCCTTTTGAGGTCTGGTGTTCTTGGGTCAGACTTGGATGGAGGAGCCTGTCCAAATTAGGGGCCTCCTAAGCCTGGTTCATGGACCACTTGCAAGCCCCCTCTAAAGTGAGTGTATGCCAATTCACTGGTTGTATTCCTCGTCTTTCTGGAGCTTGTTGTACAACTAAAGATTGGTTTCTGATTTGTCCCACTGTGAGTCCCAAGTCCTGCAGGGAGATGTGCTGGTATGAGCCATACTAGTAAAAGATCTAGTAAAGGGGCTGGTGACTTTATTTTAGCCACTGGGAGAATTTGTGCTCTGCAGCTCAGCTTGGGCTTTGAGGGCAAGGAAACCTTTGGTGAGGGACAGCTGAGAGCAGAGGAAGGTTAATTTTTTCACCTGGAAGAGCTGTATTTTCCTGAAGAGGGAAGAGCTTCTAAGTCTCTCCTGTGAGCTCTGGAAAACATTTTGAATTTTTTTTCCTTCTTCAAATAAAGAATTCATTAAGTTTTCTGTTCCTCTTAGTCCCCATGCTTCCCATTCCCAGAGGCATAATATTGAGCCTAATCACCAACTAGAACAACTGAGGCCTTTATTTTGGTGTAAAGCTGCATGAAAAAAGAAAGTCCCCTGTGTATGCAGCTGTAATACTTGCATAATTTTAAGGAATATGGAGAAACTCACAACTGATTTCCAAATCTGCGTCTTCCTTTTTCCTATAATGAGTGTGATGCATAATTTACACAGGCAAGAAAATGTAGGAAGCTGATTATTTTTTCCTTTGTGTTTGTTTTCATTCAGTTAGAGAAGGGCTGGAAGTGCAGAAAGCTGAGATAAGAGCCCTACCCCTTCCTTGGTGCGGTGAGCACGGTACGGAGGATGAAGAGGAACTCAAGGTACAACCACGAGGACTTAGCTGGGTCTTTCCAGCAGTTATCAAAAACAAATATGTCTCGTCTGTTTCCTGTCTTGAAAAGGAGGAGCATGAGAGCCATGGAGTGAAATGCTCAGTGATGTTGGGGGCAGTCACAGCCTCAGCCACTGAGATACCTGCCCACACCCACAGCTCTGGCAATAAACTGCTGACTACAACGAATATTATAAAAATTCCTCCCTGGATGCCATAGACACGTTGATGGTTTTGCATATGTTGAAAACTCCCTGGCTAATGACATATTTCCTCTTCAGGCTGACTCATGAGCTGCTTCTCCTTGTTGCTATGAAAGTTGGAAGCACTTCAATGCTGCGTGCTGCAAGTACATTTCGTGAAAAGAGAGGAAAATCTCAGTATTATTTCTGGATTCACAGATTTGACCCTTTCACTTTTGCAGTAAGTGAGCTATGCCACTTTGACATTTATTAAATAGTATGTTAGTGGCAGAAGGAATGACAATAAAATTTGTGTGTATAATTTAAAGCAAACAATCTCCACTCTTAATCCGGCCTTCAAGGCCTGAAGTAAACAACTGCATTTCAAGGGAAAGCTACTGAGAAAAGGAAAGGTCTGTTGGGTGCTACTTGCTTTTAAGCATTGAGACAGAGTGTTTAACAGACTAAAAGCTCTAAGCCCCACTTGTTATGGGGAGATAACAGCTCTATTAATTAGATGATCAAGTATTACTTTATTGGTAAATTCTTGCATTGGCCTGGAATGGCTTGTGCTTGCTTGTGAGACATGTAATTTGATTCTTTTGAGCATTTATAATATTCCAGTAGATTATTTAATGTAAATGCCTCAATTGTTTAATTTAAGTAATATTTGCATCAATGTTATGTGATTATGACCTGGTTTGGGATATTTATCTGTGCTGATTTTCAGCAGCTCTCAGCAAAAAATAAAAGGTCTTTTCATGATGTACAAGTTTGACACAATGTCAAACCTTGTTTTCTGTCCCTCACCAGAAGAGGTGAGACTCGTGGGTCTGTGTACTTGAGCTCATTTTGAGTTAGCACTGTGCCAGCATATGAGCAGAGGGAAATGAGAGAAAAGAGGCTGGATAAAGCCCTAAGGATTGCTGACACAGACCAGGAGCCGACCTGGCTCCACTGCCGCTGACTCCTGAGCAGGGGCGGTTTATGTGGAGATGGACAACACCTTCCTCTGTGTCTGTTTGCCCTGGTGCACTGGTGGTTAAACCACCTCTAAGCTGCTGATGGCCAGAGGTTACAGCCTCGGGGCTTAAGGGAAACTGAAATCACTGCTAATTCACCTTGAAAAGTGGGCTGTAGGCAGAGTGCCCAGGGGTGCAACAAGAGCCGGAGTGGGGAGCTGGGGGCACACACAGTGGCAGAGTTCTGCCAGCAGAAGTCACTCGGCCCTTGAGCCAGTGCCAGGTTGTCTTGCAGGGATGTGGGCTGCACAGACTGGAATTGCTGGTGGATTTAAATCAGTCCTAGCATTTCACAACCTCTCCCCGCAGCTCCCTATGCAGGGCCCCTATACATTTGTATACCATACAGCTCCTTCACAGCCTGCAGTACTTTTAACACATAGTATACATGTTTGTCTCAAAGCAGGATAGACACCAATTAACACTGCTCATTAATGAGGGCACAATCAACTTGCATAACCTTGAACCACTGAAAGCGCACAGTGATGTATGAATGAGAGGTTAACTGCAGATGACAGCTCATTTCTTTTTGCTCTTCTGCCCAGAACATCCTGCCAATACACACATTATAAATAACATGTTCTCGTGATGGTAATGGGGGGGCATTTCAGAAGCAAGCATTGCTTATTTTTTTCAGGAGTGATTACATGACATTAGGGGGTTCAGCTTTAATACCATCTGTTACCTTGGCTGCTGGGATCAGCTGTTTCCGCTGCAGGATCTCCGCTGCTGGTACCCTTGACCACAACCCAGTTCTGTGTTCTGAATTAGAAAGTTGAATGTGAAGCAAATTAACATAAAAACCTAGAGAAAAGGGCAAGTTGCATTTTTGATGTGCCTGAGACACCGGTGCCCATGTGACTCACAGTTCACGACTCGCAGAGCGGTGTCATTCGTAATTTGTGTAAGCGTTCACTTGCTCACCCACACACACCCGTGTTATATCCTGCTTTTCCATGCAAAGCACTCAGCCAGCCATACAGCCCGGTTAGCAACACGCTAGCTCTGCTCTCACACAGACTATGCCACATCAGTGCTCCTTCTGTGGGGAATATATTTACTTGCTGTAAGGAGCCATCTAGTGAGGGTTTACTGCACATAAAATTAAAGTAACTGTTTCTTTACTGCTTGCCGGCAATACCGAAAGAAAACGTGCCAGTTTTTTCTCCTCATGTTCTCCTTGCCACGCTTAGGGTGCAGCAAAAGCAAACGTGTTGAGCAGGTGAGGCTGTGCAGGACGGAATGCTCATTGCCCGGCCGTCCCTGCGGGAAGGACAGGAGCACATGTGCTCACCCTGGCTCAGCTCTGCTCCCAGCACAGTCCCGAAGGACCTGCCCTGTGCGCTGGCAGGAGCGAGAGCCAAGTGTGTGGGTGCAGGGCAGGCAGAAAGGAAAGGCCATAAACTCGGTCCTGCTCTGGTGTGCGGGCTCTGCAGGCACAGCCAGGCGGGGAAAGTGCCCTTCGTCAGGCAGGCGGCGATGGCAGAGCTGGGAGCTTAATTTAATTGGCAGAAGGCTGAGCCAGAGCCTCCGTCAGCTCACAGATAAAAGAGAGCAGCGTTTGAATGGTGGGCACTTCTTGCGAGTTTGCTTTTCAGGTTTGTTTTGTTCTTTGAAGAACGAAGAGTTCGTGCAGATGGAAATGCGAGAGTGGAGCTGAGAGTGTCTGTGCACTGCAGAAATCTGAAGTTACTGCTCCTGGAGCATCAAAAGCACGGCTACAATGCAAATTCATGTGGTTAGGAACTGTACAGTCTGCAAAGGGACCAAGCACGCCGAGTTAAGTATTGAGCCCTCACTCACTCAGCAGCTTTGCCACAGGTTAGAAGTAAGATTTTTTTATGTTGTGCTCTAAAATTTTCCCCGGTGAGCGCAGCTGGGTGCAGGGACAGGGTGGAGGGGCAGCATCGCCTGTTTCAGGTGTGCTCCAGACTAAAAGCGAGCAGGCAGTGGGGTCTCCATCAGGGCGTGCCTGGATGCTCCACAGCAGGATGTGCTGGAGGCTCCATCGCGACATTCACTGAGGGGCTCCTCTGCTCCCTGCCAGCCTCCTGGGGGGGAGTTTGAAGCGAGCAGCTGCCCAGCACTTTGAGCAGCCTTATGCTGTGCTGGCACTGGAGTAATCCTCCCCATCTCCTGCCTGCCTGTTTGCAGTGCTGGCTCTTAGTAGGCAGCTTTTCTGCTCCTCGAGAGCTCAGCTCTCTGCTCTCCCACGTCGTCCTCAGCTCAATTCCCTTAGGCACAACTGGCCAGCCCTCAATGGGAGAGCTCCAGCACCGTGGCACACTGGAGGAAAGAGGCGCTGAGACATTTGACACTGTGATACACAATGAACAGGACAGTCATTTTTCATAGCTACGATGCATATCAGGATAGGGAAAGTAATCCAACTTTTATAAACAAGCCCATATTCTACAAAACCCAGACACTCTGTCATGCACAAGAAAATGCCCTGAATTATGAATGTCTGCCATTTCACAATAACTATTCCTTGCTTTTAATTTTTTTCCTTGAAAAATGCAATCAGTTAATTTTTAAAGTTTTTTTATTTTTATTTTATTTTAGAGTGAGAAAACGCCCATTTTTAGTTGGTGGAAATTATTTGACTACATCAATGATTAATAGGTTTAATGTAATAGCTGCAATGGAAATTTAGAAAGCAAACAAGCCAAACAGAGCTGAATGGACTTGTTATAATGATTTCATTAGGGATTTTTAAAAGTTTGCTTTATACTTGCAGTTTGTTGTCAGAAAGAATTGGCTGAATTCAGTCAAAATGGTTTGTTCTTTGTCTGTCCGTGGTCACCATAGCTACCATTTCAATCTGTTAACATATGTGGTATTATTTTGTTCCTTTCTCTTAAACTCTGTCCACAGATGCTGTCAAGATTTCCCTTTGTACATATCTGATCGGTTCATGCCAGGTTTGGCTCCGTGCCTTTCCAGGGGAGAGCCTCTATGATCAGGACAAGGTGGTTCAGCACTCGGTGCAGCAAGAGAGGCAGGATTAGAAGCTGGGGTGGGGATGGCTCCTACTCCACTAAGGCATGGGATCTGCGAGAAATACAGGGAAGATGTTGGGAAGGCATTGTCAGAGGTGTACCTTTTTTCTGGAGAGGTGGGTATTCCCTGGATGTGCTGTGGCAGCTCCTTGGCTGCCATAAATCAGTATAAATGCATTCATTTTAGTGGAGGTGTTGTGTCTGCTGGTAGTCAGGTCCTGTGATGTTGCTCATTTGGGTAAGGAGCCAAGAGATGAAGGGAGGCACAGCTACAACATTTTAAATAAATAAGTAATAAGACTGTACAGGCTCTGTTCTTTTGCTTTTTCCAGTCTTAGAAAAGGTTCAGGTTGGCACTGAGGATGGAGGTGTATCCGCTCTGTGCTATGGAGGGGATTGGAATATTTAGTGGAGATCAGATTATCCACATTTCGCATTTTAATTGGCATTGAGTGAGGAAAAAAAATCAGTTTTTTCTATTGCTGAATGTGAAGGTGATTGAGATGGCTTCATTTTCTTTCCAGCTGTGAAGCAGGCAGGTAAATATACTGATGTATGTATGCAGTACAGTTTATAGTGAAGCTGTAAGAGAAATCAGATAGTCTGGAAAATGCACAATTTCCTTTCAACAAAGCACTCACAATAGAGAGTAAAGTTAAGGTGAGTTCATATATTTATATTTTTAAGAGCAAAAAAGCATTTGTTTAAAGCTCTGTGGCTCTGATTTTCCAGAGCCACTGAGCACCCTGCTCTCTGGTTTCTTTTAACTGCTGCTGTAGGTTTTCAGCATTTCTGGCAGCCAGGCCCCCTTTACTAAAGCCTGCAGAGAGGAGCTGGAGAAAGTGTGAGAAACATTATTGTAATGAGGGGCTAATTCTGCCTCTCCTTCCTGCCTCTCAGTGCAGATGAAAGAGTGCCTGCAAGTCGTGTTATGTGCACGGGAAAAGGGAATTCTGATTACTGTCTCTGGCTCCCCAGGGGCAGGGATGCTCTCTTAGCACAACTCACAGTAAGTCACATCTGCATTTCCAGTATAAGGCCCATTTTTAAGGACTCCTAGTTTAGCTATAAAAATTCACTTAGCATGCATGAATAGAAACCAAATTGACAAGATAGACCATAACTGCTCTGAAAGGGCCATTAGTTCCTGTCATACAAAAAATCCACATTTTTAAAAAGCAAGTATTATTCACATTTGCACAACAGGCTGTAACCATTCCTTCTAAGTCATTATAGACTGTATGGAAATAATAATTTTCAAAATCACTATTGATACCACAGGCACAGAAACAGCAGGAGATAGATGCCTTTGCTTGATATTAATCCAGAGCCTTCCAGTGCCACCAAGCGGGTTGGGATCAGTTTAAACCTTTGATTTACACCAATGTAACTAAGAAGAGGAAGACCACAGAATAAAAATTTGGTCTGATATCTGAGTTTTGTGCAAGGTTTCTGGTGTCATCAGGGGAATCCCAGAGGGGCAGTGGCTGTAAGAGGTACCAATGAAAGACCATTCATCTCCTGTGCTCAGTACTGCTGGGCAGGGGAAATGAATCTGTATTTTGTGTGTTCCATGTCTAATAAGGGCAAAGCTTGGGGCAGATAGGAATGTAGCTTTTTTTTTTTTTTAACTGTGATTTTAAGAGGTACTAGGTCATGGCTTTTTAGAAAATGGTTTCTTTTGGTTCATGATTAGTGCCTCACTTGACATCAAATACAGGTTTCATTAATTTTTTTAATTTCTTTTTGGGGTT